ACTGGAAATTTCATACATTGTCTTGTACCCACCTCGCCTGGCCGTCATCGCCGCGGCCTCCCGCAAGAGCTGGCCCCCCCGGTGGCTCTGCCCCCAGCACGGGCTGTGCTGTGAGAAGGAAGCTAGCTGGACCTTCCCAGGCTGGGTGTGCTCCATCCCGGCTCCCGGTGTGCCGGCGCAGGGAGAGAGGGAGGGAAGGAGGGAAGGGGGGGGCCATGAGCAACAGCACCCCATTGCCCAAGGGATCCCCTTGGCATCAAGGCCATGAAGACTTTGGGCTGGTTCCCAGCACATTCCTTCGCCCCCGCTGTTTGCACCAGCTCCATCCCGCTCCCCCAGCCCCATGCAGGGATGCCTGGCAATGGGAGGCGGTGGTGGTGATGACGGTGATGATGATGAGGAAGAAAATTGCCCTCCTCACACTGCAGATCCTGGCACAGGAAGGACCAGCTCTCCGCTTTGCTCCCCCCTGGAAGACGCTGCCTGCCTTTGGAGAAGCAAACTGGGCAAACTGGGCAGGAGGGGACAGGCTGCCCGCACTCCCACAGGGATATGGACACCCGGTGGCTGCCCCAGCTCCCAAGGAGAGGACACGCATGCCGGCCCCGGGAGCAGCACGGAGTGCCTGGGTCGGGGGGACGCACCGGCCTGGCCTGTCCCCGGGTTTATTTCCCCCCACCCTCAGCCTAGCACAGGCTTTGCCCCCCAGCCAGGGACCGGTGCTGGCTTCCCAGCTCCGGTTCTCCGCTCTCCTCCCGGGCTTCCTGTCTCACCGAGGCATTTCCATGGGCCTTGCCTCAATTACCGGAAAGCGCTACCTCATCTCTTGACGAGGCGCCAGGGAAGAAAACACAGGCGTAGCCCCCTCCACCCCTCTCTTCCCCTCCTCCTCCCCTCCCTCCAGAAGCTTCCCCGGCTCCGGGGCAGCCATGCAGGGCAGGATGGCAGGAGGGGGACTGAGACCTCCCTGCTCCAGCCCCCACCAGCCCCAGTACAGCCCCCGTACAGTCCCACTACAGCGCCAGTACAGCTGAGCACCTGCTGCCCCGTGGTGCCCTGGAAAGTGGCTTTTTCTGTCCAACCGGCGCAAGGACCGGGGTGGAACGCGTGTGTGCATGTATGTGCACGTGTGTGTGTGAGCCTGTACATGTATGTGTCCACTTACAGCCCACTCAGGAGCCCACAGCCACTCGTCCTGACTCCGTGCTTTGCCCAGCTCCTGCCTGACCTGCCTGCAGGAGCTGCCTGCTCAACCCCCTGCTGCCAGCCCAGCACACATCCAGGCACCTTCTAGGCTCTTCCCAGTTCCCAAACTGGGACCAGTGACTCGGGCACCGCTACAGCCAGAGGAGGAGGGAGCAGGCAGCAAATGGGCAGATGTGTGTGGGCAGGAGAGATGCGCGGGTGTAGGGAGTCGGGAGACGGATAGATGCGCATGTGCATCGTTAGGAGGTGTGCAGGGACAGACGGACAGACAACCGGTGCATCACAGGCAACCCTGGCACACCAGCCTTTTTCCACATCCATGAGGAAAAGGGCACAGTCCAGGGAGGCAAGTGTGGAGCGCGGCCCTCAGGCTGCGCTCGCCCTGTGAGGTCCATCACCGGGGTGTCTGGGCTGCCCAGCTGAGGGAGAAGAGCCAAGGTCCAGCAACTTCTCCTCCACTTCAGAGACCTGAGCCCCCAGACGGGACTCGGACTCCACGCAAAGAGCTCAGTTCCTCACCGCTGCTTCAGCATTGACCCTCCTGCCCTCTTCGGTGGTTGGACATCCCCGCGGTAGGGCAGGCAGTGGCACAGGACGGTGCTGCTGCAGTAGCCCCTCTGCTCCCACCCCTGCCTTCCCCACCAGCATCAGCCCATTGCTTGCAGCCCATCACCTGGCACGTCCTCCTCCAGGCCACCGCACCCCCAGCCGGTGCTCGTTCCCAGCCACTGGGCTTTCCATGCCCGTCCTTTGATCGCACCCGGCTTGCACGCCGTCCTGCCCAAGATCCTGCTGGGCCCCCGCAGCTTCATGCCCCTGGGGGAATGTCCCAGCAACCATACCAAGTTTTCCCCTGGTACAACTCCAGCAGCACGAAGCCTCCGCTCCCCATGACACTCCTGGATAATGCCTTTGGGATCCAGTTTATGTGTACTGTTTTAATTTTATATACCTTAATTTTATATACCTTAATTTTATATACCTTTGCAGGTTTTTGATAAGACCATCCCTCTGCCCCGCAGCAATTTGCAGGTCAGGGGCTTCTTGATCTCAAGGCGTGATCCCAATGATTTCAATGATCCCAAGGATCCAAATAATCCCAATGATTTCAATGATCCCAATGATCCAAATAATCCCAATGACCATTGATGTGCTTGTATTCCACGGATGGTTTCTTCTGGGCACAGAGACCTTTGGGAGCCGCGGGACAGAGCCCTCGCCTGTCTCCCGCTCTCGGGAAACCCTGGCACTGCTTCCCTGGCACAGCCGAAGCCGGGAGCCCCATCCAGAGAGCAGCATGGCTCAGGGGGGGCTGCGGGGCTGGGAGAAACAGGGGGGGCTGTGGGGCTGGGAGAAACAGAGCTCTGAAGTCAGGAGGTGGCTGGATGTCTGGACAGATGGACAGGCAAGCAGGACAGACAGATGGGCAGAGAGGTAAAGACAGGCGCAGAGAGCCACAGGGGTACGTCTGATGTGTCAGCCAGGATGAAGAGTGTGACCAAAACTGGGAGAGAAACATGCGTGGGGATGGAGAAAGACAAATTAGCGGTGTGACAGCGTTGGCAGAGGTGGAGGATTGTTGGTGTCTCTCCCCCCCAGCATCCCCATCCCTGGCAGTTTTGGGAGCCTCATCCCACTCGGGGGTCCATCCCCCAGCTCAGCAGCCTGCGGTCCCCTGTCTCGGGGTGGCTGCGATGAGCCCGGGGGGCCGAGCGAGGAGTTTAGGTTTCATTCCTGGTGGCGCTGGCCCTGCCTCCTCCTCCCGCTCCCACATCTGCAGCTGGAATTGCAATTTGAGGCGCTGACTGGGCTGGGCGCCGGCCGGGAGTGGGAGGGGGAGGAAGGCGCTG